TTCTATCTGCTTCTCAGTTGTGAATAAATGGGTTTGCCTAATGCAAAAGTGGTCAGTCTTAAATTTAGCAGCAACAAGGAATGGAAAAAGACATAATCTAAAAGCAGAGTTTTGTTTGTGTTCATAAATAAATTTTCAGCAAACAGAATTAAGTCATTGAGCTGTCATTATTGTGGCAAGAAAAGTTTCTGGCAGGTTAAGAAATGAAGTGGCAAACCTTATAAGGTACAAGCTATTTCACTACTCATAGGGTTTTTACGTGAAGGGCACAAACATCTAATGTTACTCAAACCATAGCAGTAATGTAATGGGCTTTGTCTAGTGCTTGTCTGGGCACTAGATGCATTAGCACACGTGCCTGATTTCCCTGGCAGTTACTGCAGGAGCTCGGCTTGGTCAGTTCCTTGGCCCTTCAGCTGCACCTGGAGACCCTCCACAGCACTGTAAAACCCTCTGTGCTCCCTTGTTAAAGACTGCATTTTAGCAGAGTTTAAATTAACAGCATTTCTAACAGTAGATGTAGGAAATATTTCTGTTTCTTTAGATAGTATGATCTGAATAAATGGTGGACTAAGAAAGCGACAAAATTGCTTTTACCTTGCTGTGCAAGCTTTGAGTCCTTGTGGTCTTCTCAAGTGACGGATGTTGTGTGGTTGGCCAGCAGATGCTCAGGTTAGCTGTAGTACTGCCTCTTGCTTTCTGTTTGTGTGAATTGCCAGGATCTCTCAGGAAAATAAACATATAAAAATATTCCCATATAGATTTTGAGTCAAAGCAAAGCTCTAAATAGCTAATTCCCTTCTGAAAACTAAGAAATGCTTTGCCTTTATCTTTTCCCCCCACATCTGGCCACATGTTTCTTCCTCTGTGCTAGAAACTGTGTGTGGCCACATGGACAGCTGGATTACAAAAAAGAGCTGGATAAAATAACTGAAAGAAAAATAATAATAATAAAATAGCTTAAGCTAATGTAGCTAACCGTAAAGCGGAACCTTGGGCCTTACTTATGATGCACTCTCCCTTAAATCTCAGATACTCTATCACAGCCTCAGCATCTTTTAGTGGAGGCTGATTGACCTTATTGAGGTTTTTTTCTCAAAGATGAAATTGCATGCATTTCAAAAGAGCTGAAATCACCACAAATGGATCAGGGTAGAACAGATTGTTTCATCTAAATCACTTCTTTTTTTTTCTTTTTCCCCAGATTATACAACTAACCTCATTTGAAATGACTGAACGATTTAGGGAAAGTAAAGGTTGAATTCCCAACATGATTCTACTTTGCAACACGTTCACTGTACTTTACCAAAAAAAAAAGGAAAAAAAAAAACACAAAAAACTAAAAGAAATGACAAAGACAAACAAACAAAAACAACTCAGGCTACCTCCTCCCCAAACAATCTGAGTCAAAAAAGGAATTAAGAAGTCATTAAACCAAATTATTCTGCAGAGCACAAGTTTGTGTCTCTGTTCTTTTGGAGGTCACCTTGCCAGTGTTGCTCTCTAGTGCCTCAGTGGTTTGTCTCAGAGCCCAGCTCTTGTGCAAGTGCCCTGTGGCCTGCGTGCCCTCATCATGGGCATGAGTTCCTCCTGCAGTTCCAGCCCCATGCTGATGTGAATTGGTTTTTGCATTACTGGTCCATTATTGTTTATATTTATTGTATATATGTCGTATTATTTATACCACTTCATAGATGTTCTATGTATTGTTCATTAAGTGCCCCTTTGGAACAAGTAAACATTTTAATTATGTTTACTTTAACATTTTTGTTTGCCTAATTACAATTTAGGTTTCTGATTGGTCCAGCTGGAGAGTTTCTGACTGTTTACTGAGCCTTCCTAGACTCATTACAACTGATTATTTTTCAGCTGCTAAAATAAGGGAAGCCTCACTAATAAATATTATTATTTTTTTTTCTCAAAGCCCCAAGTTATGCTGTGATATCAGCTTGGATAGTGAATGTGTTCAGGTTTGCAACCTTGGGGGCAAGGTGAGATGTTAAAGATGAATTGTTATTTACAGCAACCTCCTGAAATACTATTGCAATGATGAGGATATGGAAAATACTAGGATCAGGATGGAGGTCAATGTGACCTGCTTCTCTCTTTGTCCAGCACGTTTCCCACTTTATGCCTACTTGCTTGTGCCTATCTGCTGTCAGAGACAGAACCTCACCTCCAGAAACAAACTGGAGTGGTTCCATGTTCCAGCTATCCCTAAGTAATCCCAGGTGGCAATGTTTTATTTCAAATCAGTGTGATTTTCATTCCTTCATCCTTCTGCCCCCCAGCTGCAAATTCCCAGCCTGATTGCCAGTTAGCAGTCTGGCTGGCTTGAAATAAACAAGTGAAGGATCTTTCTTCAGCGGCTGCAGATGTTTCAGTGCTAATTCTTTTGCATGTACTTTCTTGAGAAAGAGCAGTTTACTTAAAGTTAATTTATTGCAGTTGTTTTCCTAGGTTATCTGTTTTATAGGGTAATTGTCTTAAGGAATTAAAATCTGTGGAAAAATTAGGTCCTCATTAAGATACGATGAATAAATTTACTCACTGTAAGGTAGGTCAAGAATAGAGGCTAGAAAATGGAACAAGGGCTCTTAACTAGACTCTCAACTTTTTCTGGGCAGACAGCTTCTGTTCCTCTGTTTGCAAAAGATTTGTTCTCTAAAAGGTGTTGAGGTAATTTTAAAAAAAAAAAAAGCTCAGTGAAGACTAAGTATCACTATTTTAATAATCCTTAGGTTATACATCTGTTGTCCAATTGGAATAATAGTGACATTTCTTCTATGAAGTTTAATATCTCTCTTCTGTATGTGTCTAAGCTCTTTTGGGAGAGGTTCTGTCTGAGAGCAACATGTTGGTCTTCTCACAGTGTATCGGAAATCTCTCAGGCCAGAGAGCCTTGGGGAGCTGTGCATCACTTACTGCTGAAGCAGAGTAGTAGTTGGTCACTGACTCCCTGAGAACTCCTGAAACTTTCTGTCTTTATTATTTGTGTCCCAAATGTTACGTTGCTTAGTGTATTAAAAAACATGATGTAGGGGACAGAATTTATGGGCTTTTATTTGCAGGTCTGAGGTACAGTAGTTCCATAGTGAGGATGATATTGCATTTAGTTAAACTGATACCATTTTGTGTGTGCATTCTTGTATATTGGCTTAAGTCTGTTTTATATCCATTCAGCCTGCACCTGCTAAATCGCAGAAAGCGAAAGCCCCCTGCAAACACTAAATATGGATCAGAGAGAATAAGCTACGAGTTTGTTCCGTTAATGGGCTCCACATGTTCTCAGATCTGCCTTCACATTTTGTCTATTTTTTCCTAATCAGCAATTTGAGAATCACACAGCAAATTAGGAGAAAAGTTTTCAATAACCATAACTAAACATGAAATGATTATGAAGATGAGGTGTTTTTAAATCCCCTCAGATTCAGAAAGAATGGGAGAAAACAAACTAATTTCCTGAAGACTTTTCCTGATCAATCTGTGTAATCTCTGCTAAACCTTGCTCCTATTCCCATAGGATGACTTCCCCAGTCAGCACATCTGCAGAGGTGTGTGGTTACTACAGCCCAGAGCACCCTCAGCTGTGATTTCTACTTCATCTCGCCCAATTTAACTACTTGCAACTACAGAAGGCTAATAATGAGCAGGTTGCCATAAGTTTTTAAAGAAATGGCAGGAAACATCTTAATGCAACTGTCAGTCTGTGCACGTACTGTAGGCGCTTGCTCTCTCTGATAGCCTGGAGCTTAAAAGCGCTGTTCTTTGCCAAGGAAGAGGCGGCTATCTTCAATCTGGCATCTGAAAATGACAAAGAGATCTATCAAACAGAATTAGGAGCACAGATCCTTCCTGTTCTGTTTAGCTTTGTAATTCAATCTGAGTCAAACCAGAGGCCTGGCCTGAGGAGAAGTGCTCCTTCAAATCTAATGAAGCAGTCCTCCGATTTACCATCATGCAAACATTAATATGTAAACTTCCTATGTATATAAAAAATATAGAGGCATATTGTATGTGACAGGAGATATATATCAAGGTATACTAACTCTGAATCTCTACTTCACACTCCATGTAGACCACTACAGCTACTTTTCTGTTCATTCTTTTCATGCTACCCCAGGGCTCCTTAATTTCCACCCTCTCTCTAGGAGTGTTTGCGAAGTTTCCCAGAGAGTTTGTGGAAAGCTTCTCAGAGCTGTCAATAGCATGGAAGATGTGATAAGTCTCTTTATAATGTCATTGATTTTTGTTGTAACTGGTCTGTGTAGACTTCTCTGTCCCTGGAACCCACTTTTTTGGGGACAGTTTGCTGTACTGTCCCAAATGTGGCCTGTGATAAAACTATCCAGACATTGTTTTTTTCTCTTGTTGTTTTATATTTTTCCAGTTGATAAGATACCCTTAAAGTACAACAACATGTATGTATATACAATGTGATAGATAAATATGTGCATATAAAGGAAAAACTCAGAGTTCTTCAACTCAGCATAATTTTCCTACCATGCTCTCTTCTTTTTTGTGGAAAGTTGCTTCATACCTATTGTGTTGCAAAATATTTGTCTTAACACTGCTGGTATAATCAAGAATATGTTTAAGTTATATATTTACTTGAGAGACTACAAGTACCATTATTGGGATAGAGCACTTAATAACCTCCCCTAAAATGGCTCATGGAAAAAAAAGATCATTGACCAAAGGTATCTTTATCTAATTTTGGTTGCTTTATTTTTCTTTCTGCCTTGCTTCTCTTCGCTTCTCTTCCACCCTTGTTTGTTTCTGTCACACCTGACATCTTTATTGTGTTTTTTGTTAGAAACTGCTTTTTCCATTTACACCTAGCAAGTCACAGACCCTAGCCTCCACTGTGTTTTCCAAGTGCTACCATTACAAACATGGAAATCCTTCTAAGGAATGTTTTTTAGCCGTTGTTATTCTGTGAATTTTTGACAATAAAAATAATTAGTAGTGTAATTAGTAGTATGTTTCTCTTGTTACAGTTCAGGATCTGAGACCTGGCAGAAGATCAGCTACAGGAAGAGATGCCTGAATGATTTCCTGACTTCATAGAAGACTGCATGACATGGATGACTTCTTTCTGTGGACACGTTTAGAAGGCAAAACTTTTTATCAGAGCCCTTGGGTTTGTCTTTTTTTTTTACAACATGAGTGAGCTTTCAAGATGAAGATGTAAAAAGTCATGCAAGGTACAGAAACATTCCTAAATGTTTTGTATTAATGTAGTGGAAATGCTGGAAAATAGTGTAGTAGAAATGCTGGAAAAAAAACGCACAACTCCATGAATGCTTTCTAAAAAGGGGATTGTTCAGCTGGAGTCCCAGACTGGTAGAATTTATTTAGAGATGTGCATTCTTATGAGAACCCGAATTTCCCCTAGAGTTCAATATAATTACAAAATGTTAGAAAGAAACTCAAACTGACATACAAGTCTCAGTATTTGGGACATTTTTGTGTAAAATTCAAACTTTGCTGTGTGCGTTCCTTTTAAAAACTAAGTTCAGGCTGTATTGACAGAGGCATTCCATATTTCTCACTACTTATTTCCAAAATTATTGGGAAATACTGAAAACTGAGTAGGATGGATCTACTTCGAATGAATGAGACAGAGGAAAATAGTACAAGCAAAATCTAACTTATTAGTTAATTTATTTAGTGCAAACCTTTGTATTTCTTTAGTTGGCTGTGGCTGTTTTCAGCAATTTCACTTTCTTCTTCTAGCATCTTTTCATAGCATAAGGGCTACGTTATGGGTACACAAATGAGATAAAGTGAGTTAATTTAATTTCTTTCTGTAGCAGAGACCACAGATAGCAATAGAATATTCCTTTTCATCTGTAATGGGGGGAAATTCTGGGATTCTCTTTTTTACCCACATGCTGTTTGGTCAAGTAATTTTCCAGTAATTCAGGAGTTGGCAGCAGTGAAAGGCTGCAGCAGGAGCAGCATGATGCTCTGACAGCCGGATGACTCCAGCATAGGCAGCAGGCCAGTAAAGGCCAACTGCATTGCAAAAGTGACCTGATTACTTTCCTGAATGGGAACAGCAGGCTGGTCTTTCCTCTGTAGATTACTATCACCCTGGTGCGATATACAAAGCAGTCACATGCCTTTGCATCCCTGCTTTTCTTGCATGTTGCTTATGTCTGTATAGGCGTGCACTAGCTGCCCAGAAGTTTGGTATCTTTGGGGCTGTGCTGACTTTCCATCTAATTCTCTTACTTTTGTCTATTTTCCTGACTCGTGGAAACAGAGCAAGAAATAGCAGTTAAAAAGAAATCTAAACTGTTTAACTCTTTCTGTGCTGAAGCTATAATTGGGATTGCTTTTACAGTTTGAATCAAATGTTACAGATGGAGCACAGTGCTATGGTGTTTGACTTGGTGTTTTCTAGCAGTTACTCTGTGGGTGTGTATATACAGAACACTTCTTCCTCAGATGCAAAAGGCAACAGGATCTGTGATTCCACTGGAAGTATCATTGACACTACCAAAACACTGCACAGCTTGTTTTCTTTTGCTTTTGTGGATGGGTTAGACCTCTTAGCTATTTTGTGTTCTACAGTGTTTCTGTCAGGAACTATTTTTTATGTTTTGATCTATGGCTGACTTGCAAATCTAGCTTATTGTGAGCAGCATGCCAGCAGTAGATTCTGAGAATACATGTGTTTTAGGGGTAACTATAACTGGAGATGACAACTGCCAGCTGCATGGGTTTTACTTGGACAACCATTGTGTTTTCAGTGTAGGATCAGAATATTGCTCTGTTGGCGCTTTCATTCTTTGCTGCAGTTGAAACCAGCAATTGTAAAAGTCCCAGACTGGAAGAACAACCTAATTGACCTGAAGCTTTCAGTTTATAGTTGGTCTGCTATTTGAACACTTCCACCATTATTAGAAAGGTAGACACAAGCTGGAAAGAAATACTGCATAACAGAGTGAGACTGCTCAGGGTGTAACAAAGAAACAAGAGAACCCTTTTCTGTGTTAGTACTTGCATCCACTTTATCACAGAAAGAAATACTTCGCTTATTGCTCTGCCAACGTCAGATGCAAACGTCACCTGAAATAAAAGCTGCAGTTGGGAAGCTCTACCAGTTTCAATCAGCAACTACATCTGAAATGTAGCAAGGGAAGCCTGTTTATTCCACTGTTTGGAGCATGTGGATTCCAATAGAGATGGTAACAGAGGCTGTTTGGAGAAATCTTTATAACTGTCTTAAAAGCTGTGGGGCTACTTATATGGTACCCTTCCAGCTTGCCAGCACTGGATCACAAGATAGAGGTCCATCTTTGCTCTATGCCATCCTGTGTGTTTCTTGACAACACAATGAAAAAAGAGGGGAAATCCTTTGTTTACATCTTCACCTGTGTTGCTGCAGTTGAAACCAGCAATTGTAAAAGTCCCAGATTGGAAGAACGTGGGTCAGATCTCAGGCTGATCTTTTTATGAAGCTGTGAAACTTTGAATCTCTGCTCATTGAGCAAGAGCTGCAGCTTTCTGTGTCAGAGGACTTGTGGCTATGCTGAAATATTTCGAGGGAATGGTTTGGTTTGAGTCCTCCCTCTGTATTCACATGTAACTCACCAGATTGTGTGGGTAGCACTGGATGGCTGTGAGCTGAAAATATATGTGGAAGCAGATGATATTGGAAAAGAAAATGCCAATCTTTACTCTAATTGCTTTGCTCATTACAGGCTTTTGGTGAATGAAATGCTAGGCAGCATAGTTGGGAGGATAAGGCATCCCAGCAGAAACCAGGACGTGGGTTCTGTTTCTGGCTAGTTCTGCCGCTGGCCTTACCATTTTAACCAACTGAGTTTGGACTTTACATGCATGTTGGGAATACAACCAACTGGGACAGAGTTGTCTGTTACTGGGAGATCTTAAATTGCCGTGCACAATGCAAGTCTAACCTTGTTTGGTATCAATCTCCAGGCTTAATAAAGTGCACAAGTGAAATTGCTTTAAAAGAGCATTATGAGATTAAAGAATGATGTAGAATTATACATTCATCGCTGGTCCAGAGAGTCCCAATCTGTGACTGACTGAGCATACTTCAGAACTGAAACCAGCAGCAGTATTAGTAGTGCAGGGCTATTTTCAGTCTCTTGCACTGTGTTCAAGCTCAGTGTTATGGTAACTTGTTGCTTTCAGACATCACAGAACAACCATTCTGGGGGGAGGGAGGGGAAGCCTTTTTCTTCCCACTTTCTCCCCATAGCCTTGGGCAATAGAACATGTATGCACATCAGGCAAGAATGATATATAAATAGCAACTGTTCACTGATGCTCATTGACAGTCAGGTCTCCGCTGTGTGTGTGATTTTTTTTTTTTTTTTTTTTGGTGTGTATATGTTTTTTTTTTTTTCCTAATGTTCATATCAAAAGAGGTTTTTTCTTTTTTTTTCTTTTTTTTTTTTTTTTCTTTCCTGCAGGTTGGCTATATTTGGGCCATTTTCTTAGTTGCAAACACAACACAAAAGCTCTGTTCTTCTAAAGTTCAGGTTCCTGCAGAATAAGGGATAACAAATTTTCCGTATGGCTTACAGATTCTTGTGAAACATGGGCAAAAACGTTACATTTCTCAATAGCCTCAGTCCTAGAAGGGACGAACTTTTAACAAAAAAATTTCAATGCTGACATCAGTATGCAATATTCATCCCAGGTGGCAAAGGTATAAAAAGACTGAAACCAGGGGTCATATAATAGGAAGTATTGAGCAACCTTAATAATAGGTGGTGCTATCAGTCTTGCCTATAAATAATCCATGTTGTCAGGAAACTAATGGATATTCTGCATTCAACGTTCCTATAAGAGTCAAGAGTAAGTGGTTCACCAGATTTTCATTATTGATGTGTCTGCAGCTTTGTTTAAATATTATGCCTGCATTTGGGACAGGGAAAGGCTATAAGAATCCTTTCACCAGTGGTGCTCTGAAAGCCATCTTGCGTTGCACAAACAGCTGAAATCCTGTGAGGATGTTTTCAGTACAGCCATTGCCACAGCTTACAGGACAGATGCAATCAAAACGTTTTAGAACTTTTGGGGGATAAAAGATCTCCACAAAGATTTACAAGAAGTGATGTTTACTTCAAAAAACATAACAACACGTATGTTTAGATTTTGCAATTAAACTAAATGTTTTTAGATGTAGAGAGAGTTTCTAGCACTTGCTGGCAGAGGGGGCTGTGTGTCCATGGTTAGCAGAACATCTTCCAGCTGGGGAAACCCAGCAGGGGAACTGAAGTCACTCCCAATGGTGAGTGTGGTGCACAGGGCAAGGAAGTGAGAAATGCATGACCTTAAAATGTTTCAGTGAATTTGGTGGGAATAACGGATGCTGTTCTCTACAGCCTAAGATCTTGGATCGCTATTTACTAATGCCTTCTTTTTAGAAAATAGTTTTATAATACAGATAAAACAGGACAGTGCTGAAAACTAGCAGAATGCAACAGGATAAGACTTACTTCATTGTAAGAGAATGGACAGGAAGTATGCATGAAAAATGTTGCTCTGTGGTATTAATCTGTTTTTAAGGCAGTTACCTGTAGACTTTGGTAGACTAATTTGATTTTTTTTAGGTCTATTCTTGAAGAATGCTGTTAAGGGCAATCTGAAAGCAAAAGCCAGTTTCTGCCTTAAGATTCCCAGAGGAATGAAAAGTACATCGATGGCATTAACACGGAATAGCTGTTGAACAGTCAAAATTTGTCTGAATTTTTACTGCCTAAATGAATAATGCTCAGGAAAGTTAAAAATGTTAATTTGATATGCACCTATCACCTTGAAAACACAGAAAAAAAGTAAATAGCAATTTTTAAATGGCAGAAATAAATACACACTAAGATATCTAGACAATGAGAAAACAGGTGAAACTTGCCATATGCAGTCCCAGTTTAGTTTAAAAAAAAAATAAAGTGTATATATATATATTGTAAAGTTCAGGTTAGTAGGTATTGTCAGTTGAATGCACTGCTTTCTTGGACTTACCATGAATGAACTCCTCTGAAATAAGCTAGTTCAGTCTGAATCTAAGATTGAAAAGAAATACCAACGCCTCTGCATTTTATTAGGAAACAAAATAGAAAGGTTTTCATTGCTCTTCTAAGGCTTGGGTGGGATTTGGTCCTGCTGTGAGCATCCTGGCTGTGCCACAGCACCATAGTGCTCAGCATGAGCTAGTTGC